CTAACAAGTAAAAAACTCCGCCACTCAACCCCCCAACACTAAACAAATGTAGGTTAACCTTTAGCGACAGTGCCAGTTACCTTGGGTTGGTAATAGACAGGAAGTTAAATTGGAACCTAAACACTAAACAGTTAAATTGGAAAGAGTGAAGAAGGCCACTATGGCCCTATACACCTGCAAAAAAGCCACCGGACTAAAATGGGGCACGAACCCACGTATAGTCCAATGGATATACCAAGCTGTTGCCAAACCAATACTGCTCTACGGAGTCACAGTTGGTGGCCGGCTCTGTCAAAAAAGACAATCACCGCTCAACTGGCAAAGGTCCAACGAACGACCACTCTTTCCATCAGTGGTGCTCTCCGCACCACACCAAATGATGCACTAAATGCCATCCTATGCCTGCAGGGCATAGACCTTGCTGGGAAGGAACACGCAGAAATGGATCTGATGGATCCAAGCTAGACAACAAAGTTGGCGGAGGAATATACTCCAGGCAACTAAATATGAGGCATTCCTTTCGCCTTCCAGACCACTGCAGTGTCTTCCAAGCGAAAGTCATTGCTATAAATGAAGCGATAAGATGCCTTCAAGAGATCTCAATCTCGGCTACTCACCTCAACATCTATAGTGACAGCCAGGCGGCACTAAAATCGCTAGACGCGATTTCGTCGAATTCGACCACAGTGGCAAATTGTCGCAAATCTCATCACGAGATGGCAAGGCAATATGTTATTATCCTAATATGGGTCCCGGACACCAGGACATTGAAGGCAACTGCATAGCAGACGAGTTGGCCAGATCTGGCACTACACTCCCCCTTAATCAAGATAAGGAGGAAATACGTATGCCAATGGCCACCTGCAAGCTCAAAATAAAGGAGTACTATACCCTGCAAACAACCAACAGATGGCAAATGGTCACGGGCTGTCGCATCACCCGACAAACGTGGCCAGAAATCTCGAAAAAACGCACCGCTGAACTGTACAAACTAAGCAGACATAGGTGCAGCGTAGTCATTCGCTCTCTTACAGGGCACTGGCTAATAGGCAACCATGCGAGTAGGCTGGGTGCCCCCTACAACGACTTCTGTCGTAGCTGTACAGGAGCTGTAGCTGTAGGAGACAGTAGAACATCTGTTCTGCTCCTGCCCGGCTCTCAGTAGAAGGAGGTTAAAATATCTGGGCTCACCTTTTCTTAACGACATTTCAGAAATGGCTACTATAGGCCCCAGGAAGATAGCAAACTTTGTGAGAGCATCTGGATGGGAGCACTGTTGACACCTTGACAAACGGGAGGAGAAGAGGAAAAGAGCCAAGCGGAATCACAACGGGCCGAAACCGGCCTAGGTGTTTCGGGATTGTGAAGTCCCGACGACCGCCTCAACCTAACCTAACCTAACCAGTTTCGAAACAAGAACCTTTTATAAATAAATTCCAAAATATTTTTAGATACACTTTTTTGGCATTGTCTCTTCTGTGATGACTCTACTCGACACGATTTTTCCGCTTCAATCTTGACTAGCTTCCAATGGCTGAACTTTTTTTTAAAGAATTTTAAAAATCTGGTATGCTTTCTTGATGCCTTTTTTCGAGGTACCGCTTCTCTTTTTCACAGAACTTAAGTATCTTATATTTTGTTGTAATGAACATAGACATTCTATAAATGATTTATGCATCTATAAAGTGTACCCAAACACTTAATGATTTTAGTTCAACGTTTGAAAAATATTAATCTTTGAAATGAAAAAATGTTGATTTTTTTTTGGTATTTTTAACGAAATTTTGATTTTGAACACTCGAAAAAAAATTATGTGTCCAATATCTTTTTATGAATAAGTGCATTAATTTTTCGTCGTTTTGACAAATAACCGCAAAGGTGCAGATGTAGTACTGAGTGCCGGGTATAAAAGTTGTGACGCGTAAGAACCGTCTCACACGTCCCTTCTCGTTAATTATACCCGGTACTCAAAGAGTAAATAGGGTATATTGTATTTGTGCGAATAACGGTTGTATGTAATGCACAGAAGGAAGCGTTCCCAACCCCATAAAGTACATATATTCTTGATCAGCATCAATAGCCGAGTCGATTGAGCCATGTCTGTCTGTCCGTCTGTCCGTCTGTCCGTCCGTCCGTCTGTCCGTCTTGTTTGTCGGTTAGTACTCAGAGACTATAAGAGCTAGAGCCACCAAATTTTGGCTCCGGACTGCTGTATGCTCACACTGAAACCAGTGTATTTCAAAAATGAGCCACGCCCCCTTCCGCCCCCGCAAAAGGGCGAAAACCCCCCAAATCTACAGTTTTGAAGATATAAGAAAACTATATCCATCAGATCACCAAATTGGGATCCGATCGGATCATTATTATAGCCACAATGGAGAAATTAATTTCCAGTGGCTAAACCCACCCTTTCCAGCAGCTTTTGTTGCTCTTTTTACATTCTCTCATTCACACTCTGCTTCTGCTTCACTCGGCCCCTGCCTCTGCCCTCCCCCGGCCGATGACTCTTCCGACTTTTAACCCACCCCGTCCCGCAGCTTATCATTGTTTTTTTTTATTTTGGTGTGCGATCGCTGCCTCTGCCTCTGCCGCGAGTCTGCAATATGTGGGTCTAGGGAAGGGCGGCGAGCGTGTTGGTGTGAGAAGTGTTGTAGATGTAGATGACAGATGAAGAACAAATTTAAAATTTGACAAAACACCGCTGAGGTGCAGATGCACTATTGTCACAATGACCAGTTTTGGTGGCTGTTTACGCCAAATTGGCGCAAAGGGCTTATGGCCGGGAGCAATTAGTATTTTGTATAGGTAAAATGAATTTGTAGCATTAAGCTACTGACAGAAGCTTGTTGCTATAGAACATACATGTGATATGTGAATACGATAGAGAAAGAGGAAGAATATGCATTTAATAGGTGAATATCAAAATTGAAAAGAAAAAGAGATTAAATTGATTTGAATTCCGACTCGGTCGAACAGCAGCACTTAGATTTTTATTTCGAGATTTTGATTCTGAACTGGTTGCGAGGAGTTGCGGAAACAGTGGCCAAAAGCTAATTTTTAAAAGTTAAAACCAAGACTAGTGACCATCAAATTTGCGTATAAGAAATTTTCATAAATGCCGCCACTTTCGAAAAATCTGCTGTGAAACCTAGCGGTCATTATTGCACAGAATGTGCAGGGAAAAGGTACCAATTTTATTGCTGTTTTAAATATCTCATAAATTGGAAAATACGATTAACTAATCCAATATTTTTCATGCATTTTATTTAGTAGGCTTTTTACTTTGTGTTCTGTAATGTGAACGATATCTAGTGGTTGGCGATGTCTTCTACATCTAGATGTAGTCCTGAGTGCCGGGTATAAAAGTTGTGACGCGTAAGAAGCGTCTCACACGTCGCTTCTCGTTTTTGTATTCCTTTCAGTCCGCACCCTGACTGGGCCTGAGCCGCTCACAAGCCACTGACTTTGTCATTATTCAAATTCAATTGTGAAGAATTATTATCTTTATTCTTATATTTGGGTTTTCCTGTCCCCTAGATTTTTATACCCGGCACTCCAATAATAAATAATGTATATTGTATTTTTGCGGAAAAAATTTAACACACAGAAGGAAGCGTTTCCGACCCCACAAAGGATATACATTTTTGATCAGCATCAATAGCCGAGTCGATTTAGCCATATCTGTCTGTCTAGCGCCTAGTACTCCGAGACTATAAGAGCTAGAGCCACCAAATTTTGCATCCAGACTTCTGTATGCTCACACTATTACAAGTGTATGTAAAAAATGAGCCAAATGAATATTTTCACGTTGATATACCATGACTACACCATCGAGTGGCCCATTCGACGAAAGCGTGCTACGATGGATCCTAGACTACTACGAAGACTTCCTAGCGAACAACTGCCCGAGAGACGGAAGGAATATAGGGAATTTTACCACTTTTTGCGGCATAAATTAATAACTTCAAAACGAAATTTTTATTTTTTTTTAATGTTTGATTTTAGTTCTTGTGTGGTCGGAAACGTTTCCTTCTGTGCTTTTTATATGCACATCCACATGTCCTGCAAAAGTACAATATTCCTGAGAATGGTGACTCAGTCTGGAACAGGAAGCGACACTTGTCAATTGTAGAATTTATTTTTATTCAAAAAAAAGTCTTAACTGCCACAATATTTTAATTAGCGGGCAACAAATGAAGGTTTCTCTTTTATTTATAAATTTACCTAAGGCAGACAAAGGAGGACCCCTGGGGAGGGATCCGATTGGATCATTATTATAGCCAGAATGAAGAAATTAATATGCAGTGGCTAAACCCACCCGCCCAGCAGCTTTTGATGTTTTTTCACATTCTCTCATTTATACTCTGCTTCGCGCAATGTGCGGCCTCTGCCTCTGCCACGAGTCTGCAGTGTGTGGGTCTAGGGAAGGGGGGCGAGCGTGTTGGTGTGAGAAGTGTTGTAGATGTAGATGACAGTTGAAGAAAAAATGTATAATTTGACAAAAACCGCTAAGGTACAGATGTAGTACCGGGTATAAAAAATGTGACGTGTAAGAAACATCTCACACGTCCCTTCTTTTTTTTTTAAGTCAAAATATCGTTTCAAAAAAACACGACAAAGATGATTATTTTTGCATTTTAAAGCTTAATATTTCCCCGTCGTTAAAATAAAACCACAAAGTGTGTGGGTTTAGTTTTTAGCTGCATCAATGAGCTTTTTAGAATAGCAATGTTCTTTACAACCAGATCTAAGATCCTTAAGTTTTGTGAAAAAACAAATCGTTACCTCTGAAAAGGCATTAACAAAAAACAAAACATTTTTTAAAAATTCTTAAAAAAAATGTTCTGGCATAGCAAAAAAACCATAAACCATAACCCCAAATCCATCAGAAAAGGTCGGTTTGGTTCACTGAAGAAAAAAAAAGTTAGATTTTGTCGAGTAGTTGTCTTGGTAAATTGTGCAACGAGAGTCATTAAATTTCGATAGATATGGATACTCACTCATGATCCCAGTCCTGACGGTAGGTGCCTCGGTAGCCTCTTCGCAGATTGCGCCGGGTGGCGCTGCTGCTGACATTGTGCGAGAGAGCAGCGGGCAGGAGCAAGGCCATTTCTGGAAAGAGGCAGGAAAGGACTCTGCGTGAGTGAATGGAGCTGAATGCTGAGTGCAGGCTATTACTTAAACGCCAATTTCCCCATAGTAATCCAAGGGAAATCATTTTGCTTGCAGCCATATAAATGTAGTTCCCCGACCCACACGGAGTATGCCCACACTCGTACTCAAAGATTTAAACACAGCTAAACGAATGTATATACAACGAAAAGCGACGTGTGAGACGCTTCCTACGAGTCACAACTTTTATAACCGGTACTCAGTCAGTATATCTGTACCTTATTGTTATACCCGGTACTCGGAGAGTAAATAGGGTATATTGTATTTGTGGGGAATAACGGTTGAATGTAACGCACAGATGGAAACGTTTCCGACCCCATAGAGTATATATATTTTTAATCAACATCAATAGCCGAGCCAATTGAGCCATGTCTGTCCTTCTGTCCGTCTGTCCGTCCTTATGAACGCATGGATATCAGAGAATATAAAAGCTGGAGCCACCAAATTTACCATCCAGACTTCTGTATGCTCACACTGTTACAAGTGCATTTCAAAAATTACCCCTGCCCCCTTCCGCCACCTCAAAAGGGCGAAAACCTCCCAAACCAAACAATTTTGAAGATAAAAGAAAACTAAAAACGCCATTCCGTAGGGAATGACCATATCTATCAGATCACCAATTGGGATCCGAAGGGACCATTATTATAGCCAGAATGAAGAAATTTGCAATGGCTAAACCCACTCCGTCCCGCAGCTGAGAGAATGTTCGAAAAGTAATCCAAGCTGCTTGATGGGGTGCGGGTAGCCAGTGCACTATGGTCCCAATGACCTCTTTTCTTGGCCAAAAGGTAATTTTTAAAAGTTAAAACCAAGACGTGGTATTTGGCGCTCTGTATTAGAAAAAATAGTGACCATAAGGGTAGGGGACCAGTAGTGTTTTTACTACGTGTTTGGTAATGTAGACGGTATCTAGTAGTGGGCGATGTCTTCGTAATTGTATGTTAAAGTGAGGCCTTCAATGTGTATCAGTTCGTAGTAAAAACTAATTTTGGAAAAAGGTTTTTTTAATAAAGTGCCACCTAGTCCCACCTTGAAACCTATTTTGTGTCGTAGAGCAATAAATGATTTTGAAAATGTACATAGTCAGAAATGCCACATTTGACCACAACTCTTACAATTTGCATTTATAGATCGTAAACTCAAATGAGAAATTGCAATGTTTTTTCGCCGTTTGGAACACAGTGAAGAAGAAAATTGTGAAGTAGGGTGCCATCTTGCATTGCATTTAAGCCACAGTATTAGTCACTAGCTAGTTTGAGGGCTAGAGTTTGATATCCAGTGTAATGTTGTTTTATAATGAAAACTCCTATGGAGAATGTCTGGTGGGACAAACAATTCGATTATCTTGGATTTTTAAGCTGTTTTGTATGATGCTACGATTTTTTTTTATAGAATCTTGCACTGCTTAACATATTCCCATCCTTATTTTGCTTCTAACATTATTCTGCTTCCTTTAAAAAAAGGCGGTGGCACGCCCATTTTCTCAAAAAAACATGCCCTAACTTAACTAATAGCAGAAAACTAAATCAAAATATCTTATTTTGTTCGCGAGTTATTAATTGAGGACAACATTCTTCATTCTGGCTATAATACTGATCCAATATTATGCCAATTCGGCGATCTAATAGATACGGGTATTCCCTGCGGAATTACTTTTTCTTCTTTTCTCCTATCTTTAAAATTGTGGATATAGAAGATTTTCTGCCGCTTATACGCTTTTAACAGTGTGAGCAAACAGAAGACTGAGTGCAAAAATTTGTTATGAAATCTCTTATGGTCTCTGAGTACTAGTGTAATGAGAGCGTCTTTGCATCCGTTCTTTCTCTTGAATGAATCTTTATTATCTAATTGAAGTTAGACTTATACCAAAATAAAGAGGGCGAGTTGCCCATGCAGATGTCATATTAGCGTGGGCATTTAGCACTGCGAATAATACATCGCATGGTCTTTATAATTCGGACGGCGGCAGTCGTTCCCAATGCCAGATGGATCACCTTTCGCGGCAGCGATAGCAACCGCGACTGCATTTCTTTATACAGCAATTTGCAGGTGTCATCTTGGCGTGTGAATTTAATATATGTTTATGTAGCATTATTACAAGTTGCCGATAGAGTGGTCCTAAATTCGATGAAGCTAAACACTCTGCATGAGTACACTACACTAGGCGATCATAAAGACGGACAGACAAACGTGTCTTTATCGACTCGGCTATTGATGCTAATCAAGAATATGTACAATGTACATAATATACTACTATACATATACTTTATGGGGTCGGAAACGCTTCCTTCTGTGTGTTACATTTGTTCCCCACATATACAATATTTACTCCGTGTATATGCTGTATAATTTTGGGTGCCCGCAACACTCGCAACTTATGAAAATCTAACGAACCAAGTGCTCGGCGAGGACGGAGCTTGAGTCACTCGCCCACACACACCCATTTGTATAATCAAATGCAAGGCTGTCTCACTCCAACGCCGTTTGCCCCAACGACATCCAAGGTCTCACCTCGCCCGCGTAAACTCTATCCTGGCATATTTATTCACTTGACAATCTCAAGTCGAATAGAGGATGTATGGTCACTGAGCGCCAGGAGCAAAATCGAATTAGAAGCACTTAGTGGCTGCTTCCAAAACTGACTCGAATTACACTACCCGACACGATTTTTCCGCAAGAAAAGAAACCAAATTTTTATGAAAGATATGGGGCTTAAAAATAGTCCAATGACAGTTTTTTTTTATGGCAGAAATTTTTTTTTAATAATTTGTAAAATTTGTATGTTTTTAAGCTTTTTTTCACAGACAGCGGTTTGTTTTATCACATAACCTAGGTATCTTAGATCTGGTTGTAAAGAACTTTGATTATCTACAAAGCTGATTGATGCAGTTAAATAGTGGAATAAGAAGCTGTAAAATGCAAAAATGTTGATTTTTGTGATGTATTTTTTACCAAATTTTGACTTAAAAAACTCGGGAAAAGTCGAAAAAAAATTATATATTGTGTTATTTTTATTAACAGGTGCATTATTTGGGCATTGGTGCATTATCAATCCAAAAACCTAAAAACAATATTTTAGGAATTTTTTAATTTCAGTATTTTATTTCAGTTGTTTCCGAGTACTACAGCTAAAAATATTCTGTCAGTTGGGCGCGCAACCCTCCAAGTCGTACTATTTTTGCATTTTTCATTTTTTTTTAAAGGTGGTTAACCAATTTTAGCTTAGGCGTCTCCCCATAGATTTGAATGAGCATTACCTTCAACGACTCCCAAACGACGAACGTGGCTCGGATATCCAAGCACGGGAATTCGGGAGAGACCCTCAGACTCTGAGTCTCAGAGAGCGAGGAGCCCAAAATGGCGGTTACTATGCCGATTCGAGAACAGTTTCTTGACTTAAAATCTACGACGTATTCAGTATGTACAATATGTAAACTATTAAGTTTCTCTAAGGTTTTAATGTTCGATTTTAATGTTCAGATATTTTATTACCGGCACTACAGGCTCGGTTGAATATGAGTGTAAAAGTAAAATACAAAAGTATGAATTATAAATTGGTACCAGCCAGCATTCCCCGATTCCGCCGCGTCAGGTCCAAGTGCAGATGTTCTCGGTGGATGTTTATGCAACAGTCGAAATATGATGCCAGTTCAACTCTGTGCCCGTCCACTCCAGCGCTGTATCAGCATTCTTACAAAGTAAGAACATTGCCGATACCCTGCCGTTAGTGGGAAGTGCTAACTTGTACTTAAACAGTGGGGAGCACTGGTAAGTACACTGTCACAATAACTGATTTTCGTCGCACATTACTTATAAACGCATTATGAAAAAAAAATTTTTTCTTCATCTGTCATTTACATCTACAACACTTCTCTGCAACAGTCGAAATATGATGACAGTTCAACTCTATGCCCATCCACTCCAGCGCTGTATCAGCATTCTTACAAAGTAAGAACATTGCCGATACCCTGCCGTTAGTGGGGAGTGCTAACTTGTACTTAAACAGTGGGGAGCACTGGTAAGTACACTGTCACAATAACTGACTTCTCACTTCTCACACCAACACGATCCTTTAGCTCGCCGCCTTTCCCTAGACCCACACACTGCAGACTCTCGGCAGAGGCAGCGCCCGCACACAAAAAAAAAAAACAAATATAAGCTGCGGGACGGGGTGGGTTAAAAGTCGGCAGAGGCAGAGGCCGAGTGAAACAGAAACAGAGTGTGAATGAGAAAATGTGAAAAAAATAACAAAAGCTGAGGGACAGGATGGGTTTAGCCACAGCAAATTAATTTCTTCATTCTAATAGTCATCCAATCGGATCCCAATTTGGTGATCTGACAGATATGGCCATTGTAGATTTGGGAAGTTTTCGCCCTTTTGCGGAGTCGGGGCTAAATTTTTAAATACACTTGTAACAGTGTGAGCATACAGAAGTCTGGACCCAAAATTTGGTGGCTGTAGCTTTTATGGTATCTGAGATCCAAGCGTTCAACAAGACGGACGGACAGACGGACATACGGACGGACAGACAGACATGGCTCAATCGACTCGAATATTGATGCTGATCAAGAATATATATACTTTATGGGGTCGGAAACGTTTTCTTCTGTGTGTTACATACATTCACTTTGTGCGCAAATACAATATACCCTATTTACTCTTCGATTACCGGGTATTAAAAACAAAAAACCCTTTAAACCAACTCTTTAAAAATGGTGAAGCAAACATTAAACTTTCAAATTAGCACAACAATTTTACCACTTATGATTTTACACGTTTTATTAGGTCTGATGAGTCCAAATGTAATCATAATTAATTATAACGGTGGCAGTATTGTTAGCGTGTGACCAAAAAAAAGGCTTCAAGGACATCTTATCAAGCAGACCCTGAAACATGGTGTTACAATGGCCGTCTACAACAATACTGCTAGTGATAGTGA